TGAAGGTTTTACTTAACTTCACCAAACTATTGAACAGCCACCATTTCAAAATAGAGTTTTGATAGCGAAATGCATTCAATTTATATCATTAATACACTTATCTACTTTTTTTAATAATTTGGCATTTCTAGTAAAGCCTTTTATTTATTTACTACCTATATTCATTTTTCGCTTGCATTCTTATTATGATTACTCACAGGTGATACTTACTGATATAAACGTCAAGAGTTATCAGTTTACTTAATTTCTATGAGCAGTGTTGGTTGCAAAAACAAAAAATTGGCCGATTAATTCATTTTTATTTAATTATAGCCATCGAAATTTGAAATAAAACTATTTTCACACACATAGTTCTAATATAACTTTATAAAATAGAAAATGCTATTACTATAAAATATTTTTCAGTACTAAATTGTATTAATCTTGTTTTCGGTATCCAACAACAATAGCAATTAAAGCAAATTTGAGGAGGTTAGTTTCCCTAAAAATTAAAGAAAAAAAATACGACAGAGTAAAACTAATAGTGTTTCAGCTACGCACCGTATATAATTTTTTACTTGCAAAAATGAAACAGAATTTTACAATTATAAACATTTTAGTAAAATATTAAACTATCCAATAATATTTATTTTATATTTAATATTCATAAATTAATAAGTTATATAATTAATACATTATGTAATCAACCTTAACTATTAAATTATATTTACAATTATACTATAAAATAGTTTTACTTATCTATTAAATTAAATTAACTAATTAGGCCAACATAAACCACCGCTGTACTGCACAAATATAAGTGAGTGGGGAAGAAAAAATTGTGTTACCGATAGCCACCCTAAAATCAAATATTGGATAAGTATTTGACAAGTACACAAGTGTGCACTAGTGAACTACAAGTGTAAACTTGTCAAACCATTAATTCCTTTGACTTGTGTTACATTTACCGACAATCCGCGGGAAACTGACAAGTGACCAATAATTGTACAAGTATAGTGTTCCGACGACTTGACAAGTATACACAAGTGACAAATATTTGGCAAGTACACCAGTCGTGGGAATCCGGCTTAAGATGGATTATTTCAGTAATATATCGAATAAATTGATTTTTCTTGTTAAAAACGAACCGACAGATAGAGTTTTTAAACCATTCAGTAAATTATTGAAAAATTATCGAGATTTGCAATATTTTGCGGAACTTCTAGGCGGTAAAGTCAACGGTACCGGTGGAGACTTTTTACACTACAAGGGTTGTGAATTATTGAATGTGGGAAAAAATTCGGACAATCCTGAATGTGCATGCTCAGTTGTGAAGCGAATATATTACGAACTTTTGGATTCAATTGAAACAATTGAAAAAAAGGTGAATGCAAATCGCAGCGATAGTAATGCCTATTGGACCATGAGACTTTAATCACAATGGCTACACCGAGGTGTAAATTCAAAAAAATCAACGACTTGATCGATTCATCAATATATAGCATTTCACAAATGTCTCGCGTATACATTGGTCTGGATCCTGACGATTCATTTTGGCCAAAAGTCAAGTTGGTAAACAGTCATGAAGAACTTATTATCACTATCGATTTACTACATAGAATGTATTCAATGTGCGGATATATTTTATCGATAACGGAAAATTTAAACGGAATACTACTTTTGCAAGATGAAAACATTAAGGTGATTCTGACACAGTGGGTGCAAACTATTATCCGAAAAGATACATTACTGTTTCAGTCAAAACGAGATGACAACTGTATATTTTTGATGAATACATCTGAGTTTGCGCAATTGTACTTCTTTAAAGATATGTTATTTGAGAAAATACATCGACAATTGTTTCATATACGTTCGCATAATTTACATGTTCAAATACGATAGTATAAAAATATATAAAGTCATCTGGTACCATGTCTGTTTTGAACAAATGATTGTTTTTTTACAAATTTAAAAATCGCTAATTTTCGAAATTTTTTCAATTTTTTTTACTTAAAGTTACCATAACTTTTTTAAAAATGACCGAATCAATATATTTTTTTATAGATACCTTAAGTATTCACCTATCATTTTATATATTTTTGTGAACATTTGACCCTTTACAAGCCCACAGGAAGGGTTTCAATATGGTAATTTTTTACAAAAAATTAACTTTTTTAAGTTAACTTTTGAAAATGTTCCGGAAAGACTGACACTTTTATATGTACCTTAACTTAAAGCTAATGTAATATACTTTAATTTGAAAAAAAAAATTGACCTCTGGACTTGTCTTCGTGGTAAAAATGACTACCATATGCAAAAATATGCTATTTTTCTGAAAAATTTTTGATATTATAATTTACTTTTTTTAACATTATGTTGCTATAACTTTTTAAAAAATGCATGAATCAATTCTATTCTTGAATGATAAATACTTTATATATATCTCTTTCATTTGACATACATTTTTTTTAAATCGAAGAATTTCCCTATATACAGGGGGGGTGCAAACCTTTTAAAATGCGTATAGAAAATAGAACTTTTTCAACTTAATTTTTGAAAGTGTTCAAGAAATACTGACACTTTTATAGATATCTTAAAGTAAAGCTTATATAATATACTTTAATATTAAAAATAAAAAGTTTGGGACTTTATTTTGTTTTCATGATGAAAATTGTCATCAAAGTTAATAAAAAAAAAACGATTTTTGTAAAAAAAGTTTTTTTTATATTTTTAACTTTATAACGCTATAAATCTTTGAAAAATGTATGTATAAATACAATTTTTTTATGAGAAATAATATTTATATACCTCTTTAATTCGAAAGCGTATAAAGCATAAATAGTAATTATAAAACTTTCTGACTGTATATTAATCTAAATGATACAATTTTTTTAATACTGATAAAATTTTCTATTTAATGATTTAAATTTAACTTGCCAATTGAGCTAAAAGTTATGGTAAAATAAATTATTTTTTTTTATTATAAACATTCACAAAAATCAATTTTAAACGATTAAAAAAATAGGTTAAATATGTCATTTTTCTTATTTTTAACATATTAATAATTAAAATCAACATTAAAAAAAATGTAATGTTTGCGATAAAAATTACATTTTAACGGGATGTTTTTTGTACTTAAAACTGCCATAACTTTTTCAAAAATGAACAAATAAAAATAATATTTTTTTCTATTGAAACCTTAGATATTTCCCTTTCATTTGATATAATTTTTTTTGAAAATCTTACACTTATTCTGCTCATTGAGGGGATTTAAAATAGTAACTTTTTTACAAAAAATAACTTTTTCAACTTAATTTTTGAAAATATTCCGGAATTACTGCGTTCTTTAAACATATATCAAATTAAAGCTTATTTTATGTACTACAAAATGAAAAAAAAAAA